CGCGAATTATTGTTTCACTTTTGTGGATGTCGGAGCGCAAGGGAAATTCTGCGATTCAAGTGTGTTTAAAAACTGCGCATTTTACCAGAAGCTTGAAAATAACACTTTAAATATTCCTGACCCAATGCTTTTTCCTGGAAACTACGATGAAAGTTATCCATTCGTAATAGTTGCGGATGAAGCTTTTGGGTTATCAAAAAACATTTTACGGCCGTATGCTCGAAATAATTTAAACTATAAAAAAAAAATTTTTAACTATCGTTTATCGCGTGCAAGGAGAAATATTGAATGTAGTTTTGGAATATTATCTAATAAGTTTCGTATTTTTCATAAGCCAATGAATGTGAATGTTGAGTTGGCCGTATGTATAGTAAAAGCATGCTGTATCCTGCATAATTTTATACGCGTTAGAGATGGATTTAATTTTGAAAACACTCTTAGCATTGAAGGTTTAGAAAATGTAAACGAGGTTAATATACGAAATAATAATGTGACTAGAAGTGGTAATACAATAAGAGACAAGTTTGCCAATTATTTTATAAGTGATGCTGGAAAATTAGAATGGCAAGATAAATGTATTTAATAAAATCTGATGAAGTTTTAAAAAAGAATTTGAATTATAGTATAACAGTTAAAAAGATAAACACATTGAGGTTCTAAGTTTACGAGTACAATAATAAATAATTTTTTTTTAATGAGACCTATACCTACATTTAAGTTTATTTTTAAATATATTTAATTACTTACCTATTTTTTTTTTAATAGCTTCCTGTTCATTTCTTTGATATTTTGTTTTATGAATTTACTTGGGTTAATGTATGATATAATTACGCGTGTATAGGTATTGTGTCATATTGTTTTTTACTCAATTAAATAATTTGTATAATAAATGTTTAAATACTTAAATATATTGTACTAAGTATGGAACAAATACTTAAATAATTTTTGTTTTACTTACCCGCTTTTTTTTTGATCAGCTTTAGACATAGTGTCATATGCTAACACTATTTTTTTTGTCACCTCCTCCCAAGCTTTAATTTTCAAATCACGATCTTTGTATTCCTCGACTGCGTGGTTCCAAAGATTAGGGTGATTTTGTACCTCAATAATTATCAGTTCAGTGTCCATTGTATTCATAGTGAATATAATAGCAATTTATTTTTACTGTATTAAAAGGTCTAAAAAGTCTTAAAAGTCTTAAAAGTCTAAAAAGAAAAAGAGAAGAACTGCACTGCTGGAGACTATAAACAAGTTATATGAAAACCATTTTTCAAAATTTGATCAGCGCGCGTATGATACGCGTCTATGTGAAACCTGTCATTACATGTTAAGGAGCGTCCACATAGTATGCAAACATTGAAACATGAAATACAGCTCACGCACTTGAATCATATGTTATGTTTGCAAACCTTACATACTACACACGCGTTCATCGTACACATAGTGTTTGATGTTTTTGATTTTACTGTTGTCCATGAATGACAAAATAAGGTGGTGAACTCGTAGTTCAGTTTTGGCTTTAATGCAGAGTTGTTGTGCTTTTTAGTTTTTCCAAAATGATCGATACTGACGATGAAGTTATTATTGCTAGTGCCGCGTACATTGTTATGAGTAGTATTGTTAAAAAAAAACAAAATCAAAAATTAAAAAAAAAACGCCGGTTTTGGGTCAGTGATATTTTTAAAAACCGCGTACGTTATAGTGGGACAGATTTATTAAATGATTTAAAAATGAACGAAGCTATTCATTTTTCAAATTTCTGTCGAATGAACAATAGTGATTTTGAAATGCTACTTAAATTGATTGGACCCAAGATCGCAAAAAGTGATTCGCATTTTAGAAAAGCTATACCTGCAAATGAAAGACTCCTCGTAACTTTAAGATACTTAGCCAGTGGTGATTCATTTCACAGTCTTGCTTACTTGTTTAAATTTTCGAAACAAGTTATTTCAAATATTATACCACAAGTTTGTGAAGCTCTCATTGAAGTATTGAGTGAATGTATAAAGGTAAAGTATATGAATACATTACACATTATATTATACAATATTAGTAGTGTATATATTATAGTATTAATACATTAGGTTTAATAAATGTTTGAATAACTATTTGTATTGATAACATTTTATTAACAAGTTTTAAAAAATTATTGTCATATTACAAATTAAACAAATAAAGAATTTTCAGGTTTTAGTAAACAATTAAAAAAAATGTTAGATACCTATCGCGTTTCTAGCTTTTAGTAAGATAAAACAAATTAGATACTTTCAATTAAAAAAACAAAACAAGCTTAAATTATAAAACAAAAAAAAATAGCTTTTCTAGCTTTAACTGCTTTAGTTTAGTTAACAAACTCTTTTGTGTGTAATACATCTTGTACATATTTTTGTGTTGGTCTGTTTGTAGGAGGTCATGGAAATCAGTTTTATTTTATATAGGATTTGTATTTGGTCCAAGATGATCTACTGAGTTATACATTGTTGACTCGGATAATAGAGGTGTAGTAGATAATAATGGTTCTGAAGTATAAGAACCTGGAGATGGCTGAGAAATATAAAAACTTGGAGATGACTGAGAAATTGATGAACTTGAAGATGAGTGAACAGAGTTTTGGAAAGTTGATATCCATGACGGAAAGTTCAAATTAGATTGTCGCTGATGAAATGATCGATAATTTCCTAATTCTGCTTCATATATTATATCGTTTATTGCTTTTTTGACGTAAATGCATGAGTCCGAGTCCATCTGCCTTAATTTCTCTGCGATATATTGACCAAATGTTTCAAATTGATCTTTTGTTTGTTTATTTTTTGAAAAATACTGCAGTGTATTCCAAGCTGCGTCCAATTTATGGTCATCCAATGAAGATTTCTTTTTTTTTAAATAGTTTTTTGGGAGATGCAAATACCTTGCGTTTAGGCCCTTTACTTGGGCTTACTTCATTTTGCACAATTTCAGTTGTTTCCACGTTAATCACATTTTCAATACCTCCTTGGGAACTTTTGCCAGGGTTATTCACGTTAGTGTTTTCATATAGTAGGTCTTCAGATGAGTCATCTGCAGCTGACTAAAAATTAAAATACATTTATAATATTTTAGAACTTGTTTATTTTAAATCGGTGGTATATTTTATAATTAAAATAAAATAAATATAAAAATTTATAATATTTAACAAATTCTAAACATTTCATATACATACAAATTTTATTATTTTATTTATACCAATAAATAATTTAACAAAAAAAATTGTAACATTTTTTATGTGCTAATGTAATTTTGTATAAGTACATTGTACTTTTCGAATTCTTTTTATATACCTATTTAATATTTTATACAATAAAATAAAACATTTTTAAATTTAATTGATAAAAATATTAATATAAAATTGTAGATTATTATTTGTTAATCTGTCATACGTGAAATAGTAATTATGTTGTTATCTGCATGATTTAAAATATTGCATGTATACTGTTTAGATGCCCCAGACTCCTGAGAAGTGGTTAAATGTATCAAAACGATTTTTTGATCAATGGAACTTTCCAAACTGCTTAGGATCAATGGATGGCAAACATATTGTAATTCAAGCTCCTATAGATTCTGGAACCGAGTTCTTTAATTATAAGTCCACTTTTAGTATAGTACTATTTGCATTAGTGGATGCAGACTACAACTTTTTGTTTGCTGATGTTGGGTGTCAGGGAAGGATCTCAGATGGAGGCGTGTTAAAGAATAGTATCCTATATGAAAAATTGGAAAACTGTGAACTTGGCATACCAAATCCCCAACCATTACCTGGAAGAAGTAGACCAGTACCCTACGTGTTTGTAGCGGATGGTGCATTTGGATTACACGATAATATAATGAAACCCTATCCTGGGGTTCAAGAAAAAGGTTCAGAAAAAAGGGTGTTCAACTATAGACTTTCCCGAGCTCGACGTGTTGTTGAAAATGTGTTTGGCATTTTGTCGGCGAAATTTAGAGTATTAAGAAAACCATTGCTCTTACAGCCTGATAAAGCCGAGAAAATAGTTTTAGCATGTTGCTATATGCATAACTTTTTAAGAAAAAAATCTACATCTACTAATATATACACACCAAATGGAGTATTTGACCTTGAACAAGGTGGGCAAATAATACCAGGAAATTGGAGAAGAGAAGGCCAGCCATCATCTTAACTACCACTACAAAGAGTGGGTCGAAAATCTTCACAAACCAGTCAATCAATTAGGGACGAATTCTCAAATTACTTTCACACAAATGGTCGAGTAGCTTGGCAGGATCAATTTTAAAACAATGATTAAAAAAAAAAAATGTTAATTTTTCTTATAATATTACAACTTAAATACTTTATTTATAGTAAATTAATTAATCTACCTAATTTTGTTCTAAATTAAATACTATGTATGCCAATAACTGACTGTAGTTGTTCAGCGACCATATGATCATATTTACCGTTGAATAGCATATGAATTATAATAAATTACAACTATCAAAATATATTGAAAAAATAAAAATAATAATAAAATAATATATTAGTATAATATAATATATATAATAAAAAAAATGAGCAGGTGAGTACTGCTTGCTGTATAATAAGGTAATAACTTACTACGATTCAGGGCCGGACTGGAAGGGTTTCGGCCCACTATTCTCTGTATGCAACCGGCCCATTTTACTATATTTAACGGCCCAACTTTAACTAAAAAAATATTACATTTTTCTCAATAGTATTTCTACCTTTACCAACGTTGTATAAGAATTAGGATTTAGGAACTTTTTCAGTGTTGTCGGTATCGATTACAAAGAAAATGTAAAATATATCAATACATAGGTATAAATCAGTAACACCAAGTTACAGTATGACAAATTCAATTTTATAATTATATATTTATGTAATTATGTGAACGATAATAATTTGGATAAAGTATGAGATGAGTTTTTAATTATGTCCAAAATATCTTCAAACTTTAAATCATTTAATATTTCTTTTTCTACGGACATTAATAAAAAAGCATCTAAGCGGTCATTAGATTATGAAGCGCGTAGACGATTTTTGATAATTTTTAATTTGCTAAATACTCGTTCACAATTAACCTGAGTTACCGATAAGGTTAGTACATATTCCATGGCGGCATATAAATTAGAATAAGTGGGCATATGTAAATAAAGCGAATGAAGCAAATTAAAAACACAAATCAAACAATTCTCTCGGGTATGTATACCTTTTTCATCACGGATAAAAGAGTGTTCACATTCAGATTCTTAAAAAAAAAAATCTTCATATAAATATCTTAACACGAATAAAAACATATAAAAATATATTTTATAGTTGAATTTGGTTAAAATATGATATAGTTAATAAACAATTAATTTTTTTTTTAGTTACCTGTAACAGATAGATGAGTATCATCACAATCCAAAGAAAAATCTTCATAATCCATATTGTAATATTCCAGTCTACTCAATGACGGCAACACATAATGAGCATATAATAGTTTAATAAATTCAACAAATAACACAATGAGTTACAAGTTATAACATCACATGGTTTATTTTACAAGAGTCAACACTCAAACCCGTCTGCTTACAGCAGTCACAACAAAAACGAATGTGTTCACTAAAAACATTAAAACATAACCTATAAACTAAAACCGTCTTGTGGTTCACAGTGCAACCACATACACTACAGATCCTTCCCACTAAGCAAGGAAACATACACATCAATCAATACAAAATTTATCTAAATCCTAATCCTAAGTACATAAGAATTCTAATAAATAAAAAAAAACAAGTATCATCATAACAAAATACAATAAAGCTTAAAAGTTCCTAATACATTAATAAATAACAATGTAATATGATATAGAATACTGCACGTTACAAATTTAACCGATTAGGAGTTTTTTTAACCCTCTCACTCCTCCATAACTTAGGAACGTCCTGTTGTTCACTCTCAAGGCTATCTTCAACCACACTTTCTCTACTAACTCCCTCCTTAACAGGGAACCCAGGCAATTGATCTTTAGGACCCAAAACCGAGCTTGTTGAAGCCCTAGTACAAGAATTTGTTTCCACCTCATTAGTATCCAATAACTGATTAATATGTCTTTTGCACACCTCACCTTCAGCCAATTGTACCAAATAAGTTACAGGGGATAATATTTGAATAATAGTACCTCTTATCCACTTAGCCCCACTAGCATAGTTCCGGCACATCACATTATCACTGATTTCAAACCTTTTAACTCTACCCCCTTTATAAACTCTCTTAGCTGCCAGCATACTGTTATTATAATTATATTTGGCTCTTGGCACCAATCTATCAAAAGATGTAAACAACCTCCTACCAATATGTAACTCAGCTGGCGTTACACCTGTAGCACAGTGCTTGGTACTATTATAAGATAACATAAATCTGGCAATCTCTGTTTCTAAATCTGACTTCATACCACTTTTCTTCAAAAAGTTTTTAAAAGTTCTGACCAAATTTTCAGCAGCCCCATTAGACGCAGGATTGTATGGAGGTGTTTTCACATGGAACACCCCATTTTTAGCTAAAAACTCTTCCATAACTTCTGACACTAAAGACGGGCCATTGTCTGTTACTAGCTTTGCAGGTATGCCCCATAAGGAAAAATACTCCCGTAAAATCTTAATAGTTGATTCTGTAGTTATATTATTCATCAACCTAACATGAGCCCATTTAGAATGAGCATCAATAATTACCACAAACATCTTGCTATTAATAGGTCCTAAAAAATCCAAATGGATCCGCTGAGCTGGTCCATCCGGCCAAGGCCAATTATGTAATATTGACTTTGGTGGATTATCACTATATTCCACACACCCACTACACTCTTTAGTGATCATATCAATTTCTTTGTCAATATTTGGCCACCACATATATGACCTCGCTATCGCTTTCATTTTAACTGTACCTAAATGAGAACTATGCAATTCCATCAGTAAAACCTCCCGAAACTTAAATGGAATAACCAACCTATGTCCCCATAGTAACATACCTTGCTCAATAGCAAGTTCATTCCTCCTATTAAAATAAGGCTTAATATCCTCCGATAGTTCTTTACTGGAATTAGGCCATTTTCCCGACATCACCAACAAAAAAACTTTTTTTAATACCTTGTCCCTCTGAATTTCCTCACAGATATCTAAATCAGCAATCCCCTTCACATTAGTCGTTATTAAATTAATAAAAAAATTACTACAAAATACATGATTGATCATATCAACCCCCTCAAGTGGTAATCGGGATAAAGCATCCGCATTGCCATTGTCCTCACCCTTCACAAATTCAATAGTGTAAGTATAACCCGCAAGGAAAACTGCATACCTCTGCAGTCTATGGGCCGCCATGACGGGAATCCCTTTTTTTTCTCCAAAAATTGATATTAAAGGTTTATGGTCCGTTTTAAGAATGAAAGGTCTGCCATATAAGTACTGATGAAAATATTTGACACCATAAACTAAAGCCAAAGCTTCTTTATCCAACTGTGAATACCCCTGTTCACTTTTACTAAGAGTCCTCGAAGCAAATGCAATAGGCTTTTCCTCCTTATTAGGAAACCTATGTGACAACACTGCCCCAATACCGTTAGGACTCGCATCACAAGCTAAAATTAATTCCAAGTTTGTATCATAATGTGTAAGTACTGTTTTAGACAACAATTGATTCTTTATATTAATAAAAGCTTTATTTTCCTCTATACCCCAACAGAACTTGACATTAGCCTTCAATAAGGAATACAAAGGACTAGCCAAAGAACACAAATTTTTAAAAAATCTGCCATAATAATTTACTAGACCTAAAAATGCTTTTAATTCATGCACATTTTCAGGAGTTTTCACCTTAGCAATGGCTTTAACTCTTTCTTCAGGAATATGCAAACCATCTTTATCAACACAATGTCCTAAAAAGGTGACACTCTCTTGCAACAATTTACACTTACTAGCCTTAACTGTTAAACCAGCTGATTCAAACCTTTCTAACACTTTCAAAAGTCTCTCAGTGACTTCCTTGTCATCTTTACCCGCTATAACTACATCATCGTAAAAACAACCAACTCCTTCTAACCCAATTAAAATATTTTCCATTTCTCTTTGAAGTAATCCTGGTGCAGATGCGACACCATATGGCACCCTTTTAAACAAAAATAAACCTCTATGCGTAGTAATCGTAGTTATTTTCTGACTCTCTGCACTCAAAGGCAGTTGTTGATAAGCCTGACAAAGGTCTAAAGTACAAAATCTAGTCGCCCCCTTAAACATACTTAATAATTCATTCACCCGCGGTATTGGGTACCTATCCACAACCAAGCTTTTATTAACAGTAACCTTATAATCTCCACATAGCCTGATACTCCCATCTACTTTCACTACTGGTACAATCGGAGTGGCCCAATCTGAAGACTCCACTGTGTTACGGGGCATCCGAATGGACAATCCGTATCGTGAAATAAAAGTACGATGGTTTATAGCGGTAATCAAATATATCTATTGCTATAGAAAATATATATATTATATCGACAATATTGTGGATCAGTAAAGCGTCGATTTGCGCCGACCGGACTTATTTAAGTGAGTCGGCGCAATCGGTGGTGCTTGGGTGGTGGTCGGGCAACAGCCGGACCCTACTTTACAATGAGATGGGTTTAATAATATAATATGTATATTATACAACAATCAATATTGGGCTGAGGAGCCGGCCGTCGTCGGTACAGACTTAAATAAAGCGGTACCCCGACGACGAACCTGACCCGGGTCGGACAGCTTAATTAAGCGCCGAAGTTGGTGTCGTGTTGGCCCTGAAAAGGGCCGTTTAGTGTTATAGAGCCGGGAGTTGTTGAGGCGTCCGGCGGTACTATAGGCCTGGATTGGTAAACGGCGATCGGTGATTGGTTGATATCGTTGCTACAGGAATCGGTGTCACCACGGGTCTTAAGTTGTTTAAACAGCAGCCGCGTGGATCCTGGTATTGACGGCGTTGTTGTTCGCCTATGAACTCGCACCGGTCTCACACCGTGGAACGATAACCGGCGATGTTTGACGGTCGAACGATGCTTGCGACCGTGGAGTGGCGTATCGTCGATGGCCGGTGGTCGAACGGCGCTTCAGCCGTGGAACGACGTTGTTGTTGGTAGTCGTTGGTCGAACGATGCTTGCAGCCGTAGAGCGGCGTATCGTCTGGTGATCGGCGGTTGGTCTTCTGGTCCGTGTCTTCTTTCTGTTGGAACTTTTCTAGTAGTTGTTGACAGATTGAAGGCTTGAAGTGGACTGACTAGATTGTCGAGAGTGTCCGGTATTTATACCCTTTTCGACAATCTAGTCCATCGTTGATTGGTCCGCGTACTATGTTTTAGACGAATGAAAATCACACCATTGAACGGACATTCCTATCTATTATGTGTGATTTTTACTCGTCATATCGTGTCTTTTTCCCAATCGTCTTTACTTGGTGGTCTTGAAAAAAACCTTTTTCTGTGTCACGGTTGTTTGTTCCGTAACAACTGGCTCTAATAAACCATCTGCTATCATTCTATCCAGTTCCAAACTAACTTTATCCTTTAATGAAAATGGAATAATTCTGGGTCTACAAAAAATTGGTTTTGAATCCGGCTTCAGTACCAACTCAAAAGTTTTATTTTTATAACATCCCAAAGAATTAGTAAAGACCGATGGAAACCTATCAACCATGCTCTCAACACTCAAGGTATTTAAACCTAATTCCTTTGGGAATACCTTAAAGACAGTAATCCAATCTCTCCCCATAATTGGTGGACCCCCTTCGTTCACCACGTACAAATCCAATGTCTTATACAACCCCTTATAACCAATAACTACAGACAAAATTCCCAATGGATTAATAATATTGCCATTATATGCTTTTAATTTTAAATTAGTTTTAATTAATTTGTCCAAACCACTAATTTTAAATTGTTTAACACTATCCACAGATATAACAGATATCCCCGATCCAGTATCAATTTGAAATAAAATATTTTTACCATCAACTACCAACTCCACACAATAAGGTTTAATAAAATTAACCTGTAACGGTGCTAAATTATATAAAGATTCCATCATACCAGCTTCATCCTGTTCCAAGTTATTTACATTCAAAGAGTCATTTTTGCACACTTTTTTTAAATGCCCTTTCTTATTACAATTTTTACAACTTAAATCTTTAAACTTACATTTAGGCTTTACATGACCAGCTGCTCCACAACAATAACAAACCAACTCCGACCGCTTCTGCTGCAGGCCGGTAGACATTGCTTTCCGCTGTGTTCTACTGCCGACCAAAGGCTCACTCTTTGATTCTTGGTACAGTACTTCCACTTGACTTTGATTTTGCAGCTGGTTAACATCATTGGTTGCTGCTTCCATTGCAACACTCAGTTCCACACATCTTTTAAAATTCAAGGACTCCTCCGAGAGTAACCGCTTCTGAATATTTTGATCCTTGATACCCCAAATTAACTGGTCTCTTAAAGCATCCTCCAAATGTGTGCCAAACGCACAAAATTCTGACATTTTCTTCAACACAGCAACGAATTGAATAATCGTTTCATTTCCCTGTCTCCGTTCTTTAAATTTAAAACGTTCAGTGACTACATTCGGCTTAGGGTTCATGCATTCAGATAACAATTTTTTTTAATTATCATAAGATTTATCCAATGGTTTAACAGGTAAACACAAATCCCGTAATAAAGAATACCCTTCATTACCAATCAGGGTTAAAAATAATAGTTTTTTTTTATGTGTATTTACTTCATTAAGCTGAACATACAACTCGAAACGTTCAACCCAGCCATTGAAATCGTCTTCTTTTAATTTCAATTCATTGACATGACCGACCAAGCCACTGACACCCTTATTAGTCATTGTAACCCGTTTTTAGAAGTCGCACGGCCGAAATAGCATGACTAAAAAAAAAACAACTAAATTTGCACGCACGTTTCGCTACTTCGTCGCCAATTGTAATATTCCAGTCTACTCAATGACGGCAACACATAATGAGCATATAATAGTTTAATAAATTCAACAAATAACACAATGAGTTACAAGTTATAACATCACATGGTTTATTTTACAAGAGTCAACACTCAAACCCGTCTGCTTACAGCAGTCACAACAAAAACGAATGTGTTCACTAAAAACATTAAAACATAACCTATAAACTAAAACCGTCTTGTGGTTCACAGTGCAACCACATACACTACACATATCAGTTACAATTAAATTATCATCATCATTATTTGTGTTTTCGTCTTAGATATCAACAGTTTTTTTATATAATGGTTTAGAAATTTTATCATAAATTCCAGCAAAGTGTTCAAGTTCGTCAATTAATTTTGAGTGATCAACAGATGATAATAGTGATAACTTTTGTAATGCTGATTTAGGAATTAATTTATTTCTTATATCATTATAATGTTTTGGCAATAAATATTGCATATCTGCAACCAAACTTTTATTGTTAGTAAATCTTTCAGTTAGGCTCGTTCGCAATTGGTCGATGATACATTGAAAAACTTCTACTCGAAATTTATGTTTTGGATCTGTTGGTGCTTCATCGTCATAAACTTCATCAAACATAAGTTTTTTTATTCTTCTTCTGGTTTTAGGAAAATCATTCTCAATAAATATCTCTTTATTTAATGCAATTTTGTGAAGGGAATTATTCATTTTTAAAACTAAATCTTTTGATGATTTAAGAACATTCTCAAATTTTAAGTTACTTATGTCAGAAATACACTTATCCACCATTAAAAAAGCATTCAATATATCCAAATTCTTTGATTGTAGGTATGTTGAAGTAGGGCCAATACTTTTGAAAATTGGAAGAAATAAATGAGCTGTTACTATAATATTAAATTGACACAACTTTTCTTTTAATGAATTGGCTTCGGAAATAGATTTTGGGTCAAAAGTTTTTGATGTTGCCACAAAATCCAATGCATTTATCACTATAGGATATAAACAGTCATTTCCGTCAAACATCCATAGTAATGCCTTTTCGCGGGACCACCAACGAGTTTCACCTATTTTCTGTAATTTTTTCAGTTTGTTTTGACCGGTTGTAAGTTTTTCTTGAATTTCTTTCCACACACCCATCTTTTTGTATGAATCAGAAAAAAAAGTTGCCAATCTATTTAATAAACCAAATAAATTTTTAGCTGCCAAATTTTCGCATGTGTCACAAACACATAAGTTTAAAATATGTGCATAACACCAAATGTACACACTATTTTGATTTTCTTGTTTTATAAAAGCACGCAATCCATTGAACTCGCCCTGCATGTTAGCAGCTCCATCAAAAGATGATCCAATAATATTTTTAAAATTAATGTCGTTTTGAGAGAAACATTCTTTGAGTAATTCATACAGTCCTTTTCCTGATGATGTTTTTACTTGTACTACACTAAATAGCCGTTCTTTTATTTGAGAGTTAGAAACATAGCGTAAACAAATAGCTGCCTGATCAATGGTACCTATGTCTTGAGTACTATCTACCTGTAAGTATATGATTATAAAAATTATGTTAATTTACCTAGTTTGAATTAAATAATTAAATTGGTTTACCTGTATACTAAACTGACGATCACCCAATTCATTCTTTATTGTTTTTCTCATGGTTAATAGTATGGCATCTATTACTTTGTTAACTGTAGTTTTAGATAATAAAGTTATTAACGCACCTCTACCTTTTGAATTTAATTCCACATGTTGTTTTCGCTGTTTACTGCGTTGAATAGCAGCAGTCAAATATTTATTTAACACCATATCACGTTTTGCGGTAAACTTTAAAAGTTCCAAAAAGTTTCCATGGTTAAAATTTGAATTTTCTATATCACATAATGTTTCCGATGATCCTCGATATGATAGATTTTGTTTCCCAATAAATTTTATTATATCAAATACTTGTTCCAAAATATGAATGCGTTCCATCACTTGCTCTTTTCTATGGTTCATCATATCTCTGCTCACAACAAAGTCTATACTATTTTCATTACTTGCTGAAAAGTATGCTTCTACAGCTAATGAATGTCCTTTACTAATTTCATGGGACTCAATAGCAGCATATATATTTTTAAAATTAGTGCAACCATTGCAAAAATTACTTGTACTGTTTGATATACTAAATGCTATACATATTGTGCAATAAATGGCTTTTACATCATAGTTAATACACTCAACTGTAATCCACTTTCTCGGGACACTTTTTCCATTACTATCAATTCTATTATAAACTCTATGCAAAACCCACGGTACATTGGTTAATCGTGGAGGTTGATTAGGGTTGATTTTTTCAATAAACTGGAGTTTTTGTAAAATGTTAGAACTAGCATCAAGTTTAAATTGATTAGTTATACTACAGACGTCCTACAAAAAAAAATATTATTTATATACCTAATGCAAATAATACAATTGGCTATAACTACTTACATCGGATGATGGACAATTATTTGTTTCTTTATCATCAGGTTCTACAGTGGATGTACTGGCACACATGGGATCCTTTAAAGATAAATTCAATACTCAAAGGATAAATTAAATATAAATTATTTCTAATAAGAAACATAAGTGTTTTCTATTCTATAGTCTACAATACATATTGAAATAAAAATATATAGTGTTTTCTATTCTATAGTCTACAACACATATTGAAATAAAAATATATAGTTTTTTCTATTCTATAGTCTACAGCACATGTTGAAATAAAAATATATAGTTTTTTTTAAACATTTGTAAAATATTTTATTTACATTGTATATATTTAATTATGGTANAAAAAACCAGGGCATTGGAAACGTGAATGCCGGATTTTCTTAAAAGAACAAAAAGAAAAAAATAAGAGCGAATCAAACTCAGGAAATGCGTTGGTTGGAGTACAATCAAAGGACATCGAAATCAGTGAGTCAGAAAAATGGTATGTGGATTCAGGTGCAAGTGATCACATGACCAGTCGAAAAGAATGGTTCACTAACTATGAATTATTTGAAACTCAATTACCAGTACGTATTGGTGATGGTAAATATATTATGGCTATTGGTAAAGGTAATATAAATGGACGGACGTTGTGAAAAACGTGTCAAGTCAAAAATGCTGATTTTTCAGGAGAAGAAAAAAACGTTTCTTTTCTCCATTTTTTGTTTTTAATTTGTTAGAATAGTAATATATGTCTCATAGACATATTTATTATTAGATTTCCATTCAACTTTAAATCTTAAATTATTATAAGACCTTTTTAAGTGACTTGACATTAATGACACAAACAATATCTGACTTGACACCTTTTGCACATATTACTTGACATTAATAAAACCCCTCTGATTTGGTTTTATAGAAGTCTGTGCTATTATACTATGTTAAGTTTTAAGTTAGTAGGTACTAACTTTTTACATATAAGTATTTCTTTTACTATATTCAATTTGGTGTAAACATGCTCTATGAAATGTAGGATAAATTGATCATACATACTTTTTTTTAAACTAGGTGCTTACTTAGTTTATTAACAACTTTGAAAAATCAGTGGTAAAGAATATTACCTATATAAGAAAATCAATGAAAAAAATCTATAAGTGTACTTGTACTAGTGCACAGTATAGTATTATACTGCAGTAGGTAGTAGATAGGTAAACGGTATATTATAAATTATAATATAGGTACTATACTTACAGAAAAAAATAAATCCTAATATCTTAATACACCACATTATTAGGTACTTGAAAGAGTACAAGGTAACAGGAAACTCTAATATTGAAAAATATCATTGAACATATTTGTGGCAAAATAAACAACAACACAATAATGACCATCAAAATAAAAACTCAATTTTAATTAAAATAAAAAAAAACATAAACAATATAACTTTTTTTTAGTAGGTATAAACATAACATGTATAAAAAATAAGTACCTACTCAACAAATATTAAAATTAAATAAAAATATTAAAATTATTATAACAATGATTAATAATATTAATCACTTTCTTCTTCCGATACTAGTGTATCGGTCAAGTTTTTAACTGTTTTTAGATTTTTATAGAATTCGTGATACACTTCAGGAATAAAAATTAACAATGACATGAGGTCTTTTTTCTTTTCTTCAGTAATACCCAATGGATTTGTGTATGCCACTGGTATGTCCATGGGTACTTCTTTGTTTTTTGATAGGTTTAGCTTTAAAAATGGTGCATTTGGATCTAATGATGTTTTGTATTGAACAAGCCCTTTGTTTTCGTTAGTGTATCGCAGCCATTTTAAATCTTGAAAAACAAATGGATCTTTATCCTCATTTTTCTTTTTCATCTGATATATTTTTTTTTTAAATAAACTATTAAAGTTAAAAAAATTGTCTTGAGACATTGGAATTACAGAAAATTTATTTTTTCCTGCAAAATTTATTAAACTTATCCAGTCTTGGGGGTGGTTTATTGATGAAGAAAATTTTTTCTTTGCTTTTTCTATTTTACCATGGTCTCCATCACATTCCATCCTAGTGTGGCCAGGCACTATAAATTTATGGTCTATTATTTTAATAGTGTGTTGTTGATTTAAAAAATATAAACACATAGCAATCATTATACTATTTTTATTTTGCCCAGGGCAACAATCACTATACATGATGACGTGTGTAATATTTTTTGGTAGATTATTGAGGTAATGGAATATGCATGAACCTATTTCATTTGCCCCACGTTTGGCAATAGATTCATACCAAATGTAACAAGATGCCTGAGAAGTAGTGCAATTGTGGACTGTAAGATTGTACGTCCACAATTGCCTTTTGTAAAAAGCTACAGAACTTTCTAAGGAAGGTGTTGGAAGACATTGTTGCAAATCAAAGGATAGTATACATTTATCTGTAGACATCTCTGATATGTCATTTTTTTTAGATTGATAAGCAAACTCAGCTTCATCCTGATGTTTTGTTTTCTCTTCAATTAGCTTATTTGTTTGTTCCGATGAATTATTATTATCAGTTAGTTGTATTTTATATTTGTCACATTTGGCACAGGTATCCTTTTTAGGATTTTTTACTTTGAGTCCTGAATTTTTAAAATATTGTGCATATATTGTCATACACACTGGATTTTCTACACTTTTTTTATACATATCATATGCTAGCTTTAAAGTATAATGGCTTGGCAAATACTTCTTTGATGTTTCCTTCCTACAATAATGACTTTCATAGGAAGGAAGTTTGTTAATATGATCAATCATTATTTTTATGTCATCATTAGACCATTTATTTCCTGGTGTATTTCGTCCTCTTTTATCAGGGGAACAACGATGTGCTGGTGAACTCAACATATTTGTACAAACATTTCTCAAAAAAGAGCGAGTTTCACCAAATATTTTCATGAAGCATAACTTACAAACAATAATAAGGTTACCATTCTTGGGGATATAATATTTGTAAGTTTTTTCTTTCGGCTTTTGTTTCTCAGGAGTATCTCTTCTTTTTCTGCTACTAATTTTGTCAGAACATATGATTAATTTTGAAACATAAGCTGCTCGTCTACTATAATTTCCCATTGACCAATAAAGTTCGAATAATTGTTCACGCAAATTGTCTTCAACTTTAGACTTACAATTATTTCTACAATTACCTAGGGGTTCAGATTTTCTAGCTTTGATAGTTTTTTTTTTATAATTTGTGTACTCCATACCTTTATTTTTATTTTCCTTTTGACTTTTTCTGAACTTTCTGGTATCGCCTTTAATACTAACTCTTGCCTTTCTTTTATTTGTATTTGTTAGTTGTATCTGATCACTTTCTGCTGATAGTTGAGATAGTGTGCCCAATATAACACTTTCTTCAAATGCATCATCATTATTCTATTTAAAAAAAATGATTCAATTAATCTTATAGTATCACTACCTTTATGCATTATGCATGCAAAATAAATTACCTGCTCTAAGGGCAATACTACTTCATCATTAATATATTCCAAAATATTATGATCATAAAATGGCATCTGTTCAGTTCCTTCTAATAGCTGGGGTGTGCCAAAAATAATACTCTGTCCAAATTCATCAACATTATTCTATTTAAAAAAAAAGTTAATTAATCTTATATTATTCACTACCTACCTATATGAAATATACATGCAAAATAAATTACCTGTTCTACGGGCAAGACAGCTTCATAATTTATATTTTCCAAAATATTAAGATCATCATTGGAAATTTCATTTACATAATTAGCATTATCCAAAGTATTATAATCATCATTTGAAATTTCAATTACGTAATTAGTATTATCCAAAGTTATATCACCAATTTGTTTCCCATATGATGGTTCAGATTCATTTACCCATTGCTAAGAAACAAGAATCAAAATATTAACATACTATACACAGGTAGGTACATTAAATTCTTTTAAATTCTTTAAAATTTTAAGTAAATAATGAATAATATGTAAAAAGAATATAATATTAAATTAGGTTTCTGATCTAAAGGATTTTTTTATTTTAGTTTAGTGTATAAGTGTTTAAAATATGCAACTTAATTGAATTTTTGTATGTTTATTTTATATTAAATAGTAAATAATAATTTACTACAATAGAATTACAGTTAGGTATCTATAATAAGTTAAAAAAGGTAACTATTTTAATTTTAGTAATGTAGATATTATAATAATAGTATAAAAGTCCCCACACACTGCAGCAGTGGCGGTGAATTGATGCAGGACACATTTCACCGCTCACATGAGCAGTAAATCCAAGACAATATAATTTAACACCACCGCTGCAGTGTGTGGGGACCTTAATAGGTACTTCAATAATGATAATAACTTACTATGTATGGTAAAGTTAATACTAGAACTCAATAAAATAATTTATTATAGTTCAATACTCTGGTCAAGTATTAATGTTTTGAAATTCAAATATGATTACTTATTATGACTGAATAATTATCATACTGATTAATAATATACTGCAATAAATGCGATGATAATAATAATATGAATCCCTAGTTGACCTATTATGAGTAATGAGTTTATTAATGTTCACTTACTCTTACATAATCCGTATTTTGATCATCATATTTTTCACGATTTGAAGTTTTATGAAAGAGTGTTGTCAAATTTCTACAGCAGGGTGGCTTACTGTTTGTTGCATTAGTAGAGATGACATCTGTACAAAAGTTGATACAAAATATAGACATTTATATACCTAATGGTAGTTGCATATAATAGAGTTTATAATAATTATTATTTATATAAGTACTTACTGTTACAAGCCAACTTTATTAATTTTTGAGTTCTTTTTGAC